ATTCTGATGGTTGGTTCTTCCGAAATGGGTCTGTGGACTTCTTGGTAACCCAGAAGTGCCCATCGATGTTTCCTGACTAATAACTACTGCTGCTAAAATTCCTTCCTTGGGAGAGAGTAAAGCAATGTCTGCCCTCCTCTCAAGGTCCCAACCACAAACCCAAACTGAGGCAAGAGTCTGAGGAAGTTCACTCTGGGGACCAGTTAATTTGTTGGGCCTCGGGGAGGGGTGCTTACAGGAGTGTGGACATGCACCCACAACCAACTACCCCTGGAAAGGCTTACTGAACACCAATGAGGGTTTCCACCCAATATGTATTCATGGATTTCCCCATATACTCTAGCCCCTCCCCCCAGGCCACAGCAGCTTGCCAGGTGATGGGGAGTAGCTAGATACTCAGGTGAGAATCTCAGGTCTGACTCTGGGCCTCTGCTGGGGTGGGAATGTCAACCAGTCCCATTGGGATGAGCATTTGTGAGGGGGTACACAGCTGAACTCCCAAGAGAGTACTTGCTTAGCTCAGTCACACCTACAGTAACAATGCTTCAGAAACTTATCCCAGCTCTGGTATCCAGCGCAGAGAATGTCAAGCTGGCCACCCATCTGTGGGGACACCCAGGCAGTGACATCTCCGCCATTGGAATTCTGAGGTGAAATCTGCCTTGCCCTGATAAGCTACATCTACCCAGGGAATCAGCCACTGACATATACCAAGTCGGGAACTGTGGACCCTCCACCCCACCCCCAAGCCCCAGGCTCATCGTGGAAGCCTAGGGTTCATATCTCTCTCCAGCCCAACCTCATCCCAAGAGAGCCATCTGGAGAGTTCATGTACCTTTCTGAGACCCACATCAGATCTTCCAGACTTCGAGAACAGGATTCTAACAGGGTGTTGCAGAGACACAGTCGGGCTCTGCAGGAAAGCATGCTAAATACATATGTGTGGGGGAGGGGGGCTTTCCTCCTCTGGCTTGCATTTCCTTTAGTTGCTTACTGGCCAAAGGCTCCTGTGTGCCATGATTCCATGTCTCCATCACTTACAAACTTCTACTGCAGGGTTCAGGATGCAACACAGTGGGAGGGGACCTGGATTTGAACCTCAGCACCTCACGAGGAAAATGAATCAAAACCTTATTGGGCAGCCCAGAACTTCAAAATCCAAACTAGAATGCAATTGCCCTGACGGATACATTTATTTATTTATTTTCAAGACAGTCTCAGTATGTAAGTCCAGGCTAGCTTTGAATATTCCTTCGAGGACATTGGGTAGTTTTACCGATTTTGGCAGACGATTTCCTAGACCGGTGGTGTGAGCATTTCATGGCCTCACTGACACCCCCACCATCAAGGTGTCTATGCAGTTTTGGACCGCCACTAGCAATGCATGCAGTGCTGAGGGGCAAACCAGGGTCCTGTGCATGCTGCGACTGCATTCTACCAACCGGGCCACATACCACAAGTACCACTTTCTTTAGTTCTGTATTTTCACCCTGGGCCCCAAGACTCTGCCCCACCCCGATCCTGCCTAGCCCTCACACAGCATACTACCCCCCAAAAGTGTGACCACTGTAGCAGGATCTGCACTTCCCATAGATCTGCCGAAAGTGTTACTTTCCTTGCGCTTTCAAAAATAAAGAAAACGCTTCTTAGCAGAGACTTCCAGCAACTGCTCCTTAGGTCCTTGCGGAGAATCACCATCTGCTGCCCCCGGTATCTTCTGGAGACAGCAAAGGGCTGCTAACAGTCTCACACGACTCTCCACTCCTGGCTCTGCCCAGGGGACACCTGGGTCCTGTGCTACTTTCCCAGCCTCAAGAAGGACTGCTGTGGGAGCTTTCCAGGGTCCAGGTGAGGGGCAGAGCAGAGCTACCCAACTCCAGCTTTACCTGGAGCTTCCTCTCCCCCAACCTACTCTCACCTACAAAGCATCCACATGACCGTTTTTCTTCAATTTACAACATGGAGATGGCTGGGGCCCAGGTTTTTCTTGTCCAAGACCCTTTACAGTGGGGGACAGACGCAGCCATCTGATAACCAAGAGTTCAGGGTGGCTCTCGGATGCCATTGTCACCTCCACAGTCCAGTAGATGCCTAAGTAGAGGGGCTTTTCCCTTCTCCTTCCCAGCATGCCCATGATCTGGCAATGCCAATTATTGTAAATATGACAGACACGTGAGCCTCCTTCCAGAAATCCCAGGGCTTGGTTTGGGGAGGAAACTTTTATTAATTAAAGCCTTTCGAGAAATTGCTACTTGTGTGTGTGTGTGTGTGTGTGTGTGTGTGTGTGTGTGTGTGTGTGTGTGTGTGCGTGTGTGTGTGCGTGTGTGTGTGTGTCTGTGTGTGTCTGTGTGTGTGTCTGTGTGTGTGTGTCTGTGCGTGTGTGTCTGTGCGTGTGCGTGTGTGTGTGTCTGTGTGCGTGCGTGTGTGTGTGTGTGTGTGTGTCTGTGTGTGTGTGTGTGTGTGTCTGTGTGTGTGTGTGTGTGTCTGTGTGTGTGTGTGTGTGTGTGTGTGTGTGTGCGTGTGTGTAGGTGACACAGGGTCTCACTAGCCTCAGACTTGGAGAAACCATCCTGCCACCTCTGCCTTTCCAGTGTCAGGATTACAGGAATGAGCCACTGTGCCCCTCAAAATACTCCTAGTTAATTATTTAACCCTTCCTCACTCTTTACTCCCCCGTTAATCACACAAGGTTTTCCTTTTAATGGAAAGGTTCCCAAAGCAAAAATACACCAAGTGCCGTTTTAGAAAGGATTTATTTCAAACAGCTACAAATTTTCACTTTAAAGCAAACAGTGGTCCCCCCAAAAAAGCATTGAAAAAACATATTAGACTACTTTGCAGAAACAGCTTAGGTAATCAGCTTGCAGGTAACACAGGGGTTAAAAAAAAAAACCTTAAAAACATTGTTTCAAAAACAAAAACATATAACACTGAGGTATTCTGCTTAACGGATATGATCTCTAGCCAAGAAAGTCTCTCTGTCCGTTCCAGCTTGCTACACACTGTACCAGCTTTCCCTGCAAACTAGCTCTCCATCTGAGCATATGTTCACAAAACTGACAGTGTTCCTTAATAAGCATTAAGGTTGTCATAGAAACTCCCTGGAACTGGCACCCAACCACACCAGGACTGGAAAGACCTTTGGCAGACCCTCCCCAGCACCAGCCCTAGGCCCTGTGCCAGCCGGCCTGCCTCCTCCAGCCAATCTCACTGTAGGCTGCAGCATGGCAAAGGTTCTGGGGATGAGCCTGCCTCCCAAATGAAGCCAGGTTTCTCACCTCCACCTGCAGCTGAGTGCGGGGAATCCTCCCCAAATAGGTCAGCCATAAAGAACTGCTAGGGGGAAAAGGAGTCAGGCAAGCCAGGCATTCCTCAGATCTGCAGAGCATGGCCAACCCTGGCCCACCCTGCTGGGCTCTGCTCCACACTGGCTCCTACCCAATTCCAGGAGTAAACCCCACGCCAGTTTCCTTTCTCCCAAGACATCAGGGACATGGCAAAGACGCAATGTGAGCGTACAGCCAGGCGAGAAACTGCAAAGAAAATGCTCACGGAGAGAAAGCATTCAGTCACCAAACGTCTCGGGTGCACAGCCAATGCCTGCAAGGTTTTAAAGCTATTTCACTAATGCCAGAAGAACCAAAGATCACCTTAGAACTTGAGACTTGAGCCGGTACATGTTCTCCTCCTCCTACCATGCAGGGAAGGTCATGTTTAACCCATGTCTAAACCCTCCACATCTGGCTGCCTGGTTGCTGACTGCAGGTGTTCAGTGACTGATGATGATACTGTTGACAAGGCAGCCGGCCTGTGGGCTGCAGAAAAGGATGGAGACACGCATTCAGCCAGCACAGATTTGAGGCCAGAGGCAGCTGAGGGCCTATACCTGTGTGCACTGAGTGACGCTGGAGCTCAGATGGACCAGACTTCATTGGCATTAGCTTATTGAGAGTCAAAAGGAAAAAGGAAAAAGCATCCTTTTGATACTGGCGGGCGGGGGGGGGGGGGGGGGGGGGGCGCTATCCTGTTAGGATAATAGTGAAAGCAGTAACAACCTGGAGATCAAAGCTCTTTGGCTTTCAGAGATAATGAGATATCTGGATTTTAATCTTCCACCAGCTCGCTCTGCCCGGCTTTGGTAACAGCGTGCGGGCAAAGCCGTGTGAAGAACTGAAGAGTCGTGTGTGCGTGGGCACAGTCACCTATTCCCCTAAAGATCACTATTTCTAATATTTCCCTTTCACAGCATTTTTGCTACTCTTGAGTCCCAGAAACTTAGCAAAGGAGAGGGGGGGAAAAAACCCACCATGAATACCTGCCTGTTTTTTGTCAACTTACACCTTTTTCTAAGACAGCAACAGGCCCCTGAAATGTACAAAACCCGAAAAGAAAATAGCTATCTGCTGAAGACAGCGGCACCTCGGCGCGGCAGAGCAGACAGCACACTGACGACTCCCGAGCTCCACCGCCCGTCCCATGGTGGTGGCATTTTCCGAAAAGGTAGGCTACTAGCAAAGTGTTGGGATTTGGTAAACGTGAGGGTTAATGACTGCAAAACTCACTTTAATCACAGCACTGCTTGCTGTCTCCTGGGTGACCGCTAATGTCACGGAATTCTCAAAGCCCCAGGGAGAAGCCGGAGGGGACTGTGCTTCTGTGGGGACTGAAAGGAGGGACTCTGCAGAGTGAGGAAGGCCACGGTGGCAGTGAGGTGTCACAGGAAGCGGACACCTTCCTTCCTGAGCCTGGCAAGCGTTCATTCCCTGAAGCCGAGTACAAACTATTTTTGTACTTTTTAGGACCCAAAAAAAAAAAAAAAAAAAAAAAGATACAGAATGAAACTGAAGTCTTTTCTGTTCCAGAAAACAGTCATTTTTCTCGATTTTCACTTGACTTGGCTAAACAAAGCTACTGTGTCACCCCACCCCCACTCCAGGGGTGGTTCATACACAAGCACACAGTGAGTGGCCTCTTCCAGAATCAAGAGAAACAGGCAACAGTTTTCTTTTTTTGTTTGTTTGTTTTCTGAGAAAGGTTTTTCTGTGTAGCTCTGGCTGTCCTCGAACTCACAGACATCTGCCCGCCTCTGACTCCCAAATGCTGGGATTAAAGGCGTGCGTGCGCCACCTCCACCACCACCTGGCTCAGGAAACAGTTTCATGAAAAGCAAAATAGAAATGCTTTCTTGCTAGTTAAGTTTTCCTTTTTGCACGAATGTCATCTTTTCTAGTAGCTCAGGTCCAGTTGAAACCAGTATAGGCAAGGCCGGAGAAAAGCAGTTGCCCTCTGCCCTGGCAGAGGCCCTCACTAACACCATCCCTCCCCTGGGGGAGTAGCGGGGGACAGAAAACATGTTTTCAGAGGCTGCGTCCCCCTCAACTACAACAGGGACAGTGGACATCTGTCCCCCCCTACTTCCTTTCTGCTTCTCTTCGCCTGAAGTCCTGAGATCAAAGAAGGAAATAAAACTTCTACAGTCAGCAGTGCCTAGGATTATCATTCACATTTGGAAAATGCTTGTAAGACGTTAATTGTCATTCCCTTTAAAACCATCAGGCCCTGAGATATCAGTCACCACAACCGGACTTCCAGCGGCTTTCCAGGTACTGAGAAGGAAGGAAGGAAGGATCGAGCTTCCTCCCCAGCCTTACCGGCCTCGGAAAAGAGAATGTCAAAGGCGCTTGGATTTTAAGAGTTCAAGCTAAAAGGGGGGTTAGGGCAGTGATCCAGAGCTAGGCAACTGGGGCAACCTTTGGCACCCCTACCTGAGGTTATCCTGCGGGTGCAGCTTGTGAAGGCTGATCAGTGTGTAGATATCTCTATCTACACACCTATCCAGTCACCGCAGGTCTCTGTGTCCCTCACAACCCCTTCCTTCGGAGCGTATGCAGCACACCAGTCTTGACCGGTTCCGAATCTTCTGCAAGGTTCTTGTGGGAAGCGGGGCTGCAGCCCCACCCACCCCCACCCCCGACCCAGGTGAACCGGAATGGCAGTGAGAAGCGTGTGTGCCCATCTCCTGACACTGTGCCAGCTGCCAGGTGCCATCCAGACGCCTATCTGGGGAATAAGCAGTCTCTATTGCTGGTGCCATACGGGCTCTGCAGGTCCCTGACGCCCAGGCAGCCGTGGCTTAAGGTGTCGTGGGACCCTGCGGAGGTGAGGAGAGGGACCAAGATGAAGGTCGGCTTCAGCTGTCCCAAGGAATATGGCGGGGGAGAACTCATCTTGCTCTCCTTCACGGCCTGGGACTTCCATGTCTTCTTGAGCCTTTACACAAACACACAAAAGCAAACAAGCAGATGTGAGCTTCCTCTCGGGCCAGTGTCACGGTGAAAAACACCAGCAGCAGCTGACTGCCCTGGCTGCTAGGCGTGCCCAGGCTCAGCTCACAGAAATGCTGACGACTGACTGCCTTATTATCATCACAGGAGGACGCCCCACACCCTGAAGAGCTGGTGAGGTTCCAAGCCAAGACCACATCTCACCGGCCCCATTTACAACGGGAAAGAAATGGGAGTGTCCCTTTACGCACTCCAGAAGACACCTGACAGCCCCTTAACCTGCCCTGTGCCAGAGGCTGCCCCCCGTGAGGCGCGTACCATCAGCTCTCTATCCGTTCACGTAAAAAAAAGAGAAGGAGAATATTCTCTCCGTGGGGAAGGAAAATGGAACTCGGTCCAACTAAGGCTGGCAGGAGGCGGATCGTTCAGAGCCTGCGATGAGTAGCGGAAAGCAGGCTGTGTGGTCCCTGTGCTCTCTCCTGTCCTGTGCCGACAGCTGTCCCATCCTCAGACCTCCAGACACCTCCACCCACCCCACCCCCAGGAGGGAGAGACTTCATGCTCCGAGGAGGGCACCACTGGGCACGTGTTGACTCATCTGACAGGAAAGTCAATGGCAGGCAGGAAGGAGATAGGCATCGCTCTGATCACAGCTCCTCAGCGTGCTATCTGGGCCCGAGGCCAGGCTCGGCAACCATGAGAAAGTCAGCTGACGGTGTGAAGAAAGCTGAGCCGCAGATACAGATCTGCAAAGGTGGGGGGGGGCCCCTTCCCAAGGGGCCCTTTGTCTAGGGGTGCTAGACCAGGGCCTCCTCTTCTCCTTTGACCTCCTCCTCCTCCTCTACAGCTGACCTGCTGTGTACGGACCCCCAAAGTGGGGAGTAAGGTGACCCCCACTCAATCCCATCACATGCCAACTACCCAAGGAAGGGCTGTGAGGGAGGAGGGGACGCCGATGTGAAAAACAAGATTTGGGCATTTTTCTTGGGCTTTCTTTCTGTACCAGCAGGCTATTCTTGTTCTTGTTATGATAAATGATTGATAGCTGGCTCTGAATCTGCCGTTGGCTCTTGGCCTGTCAGGCAAACAGCATAAACAATCTGAAGAATGTTACTTGGATGCAGGAAGAGAGCCCAGCAGGGGTGCGAAGGGAGTGTGCCCAGTCGCTGAGTGGAGTTCTCCCTGTGAGAATTCTACTACGCGGCTACACCATGGAGAGACTACAAAGCACTCAGACCCTCTGACCCAGGAGTTCATGTTCCCGGAAAGTACCCTAAAAGTGACTGTGGTGGCTTCGATAAGAACGGCCTCCATAGGCTCACATACTTGAATGCTTGGTCACCGGGAGTGGCACGATTTGAAAGGATTAGAAGGATCAGAAGGTGCGACCTTGTTGGAGGAAGTGTGCCACTAGCGGTGGGTTTGAGGTTTTAAAAGCCCAAGCCAGCTAGGCCCAGCCTCTCCCTCTCTCTCTCTCTCTCTCTCTCTCTCTCTCTCTCTCTCTCTCTCTCTCTCTCTCTGCCTGTGGATCAGGATGTAGCTCTCAAGGACTTCTCCAGCACCATGCCCACCGTGCCTGCCTCCATACTCCCTGCATGATGACAAAGGGCTAAGCCTCTGGAACTGTAAAGAAGCCTCCACTTCAATGCTTTCTCTTATAAGAGTTGCCGCAGTCATGTGTCTCTTCACAGCAATAGAACACTAAGACACTGATATAAACATGGAAGAACTTTAAGCACAAAGATGCTTAAAAGCACAGTGCTGTTTATCAATGCAAAACATCTTCCAATCCCTGCTAACAGTTAACTGGGTTTATGTCCTTACAAGAAAAACTTACTGCTAATGAATATGAGGTTTACAAAGAGTGTGAAACTGGGCCAGATGTGGTGGCGCACGCCTTTAATCCCAGCACTCAGGAGGCAGAGGTAGGCGGATCTCTGTGAGTTTGAGGGCAGCCTGGTCTACAAAGTGAGTTCCAGGGCAGCCAGGGTTACAGAGAACCCTGTCTTTAGAAAGCAAAACAAAACAAAACAAAAAAAAAAAGTGGAAATATTTACAAAAAAATGTGAAAATATTTTTTAAAAAGGTAGGATTTATAAGCATATTTTAAAAATTATTTTTAATTCTCTGCACATGTATCTGTGTGTGGGTATGTGCATGTGAATGTAGGTGTCCAAAAAAGCCAGAAGAAGGTATTGGATCCCCTGGGGCTAGAGCTACAGGTACTGTAAGTCACCCAACGCGGGTACTGAGAACCAACTCAGGTCCTATGCAAGAACACTAAGTACTCTTAACTACTGAGCACAGAATTTAGAGTTACATACATAGAATAAATGTGGCAAGTAACAGTAGACCACACACACACACACACACACACACACACACACGCACACGCACACGCACACGCGCACACTCACATGCACACACACATACACATGCACATGCGTGCACGTGTGCACACACACACACACACACACACACACACACACGAATGCAGAACTAGAAGTTCTGTGCCTATGGCGAGCGTCAAGCGGCAGATCTCAGGTGTTGGTACACTCGTGTTGGGCCCCAGTGTATAAAGCTGTTCCAGCCCACTCAGATCCTTGCCTTCGGCACAGCTGTTCAATAGTTTGCTCACTACCTCGCTGGAAAATCACAATTTGAGGCCAGGGATACATCTCAATGTCAGAGTCCCTGCCTAGCCCTGGATTTGAACTCCCACACGGAACATAAGGAAAGGAGGGAAGGATCAAAGAGGAATATCCCGGGCTGAGCACAGCCTGATGTCTTTGGCTATGTGAGGCCCTGTGAGGACCCCGGGAGCTAGCGTGTGGAGACCTCCTTACCACGGCTGTGCTACTGTAGCTCTGACCACGTCAGCGCCTCCTCGTCAGGGACTAGCTTCCTCACTAGACAGTACCTGCCCTGTCCCCGGCCCCCTGCAGCACCCAGGGCCCAGAGTGGTTGTAAGTGTAGTGGGTGTGTTGTGTGCTCTTTTGCTGAATAAAGAAATGAATGAGGTTCTGACGACCACACGGGCAGATGAAAGCTAAGACACAGAGTACAGCACCGAGCCCCAGGAACCATCTCACCTCAGGATGATGCAGACACAGAGGAACAACCCAAACACCAGGCTTCCTCCAGCCACCAGGAATGTGGGAAGCGATATTGAGGAAGATTCTTGCACTGAGGCTGGGGAGGAAGGGGGGCGGGTAGAGAAAAGGAAGTTAGGATGAAGGGTAGGAGAGAGGGAAAGGAGGAGCAGAAATTCAGTCAGTCAGTCGGCGGGTACTAAAACTGCCAACTTGCTGGCCACAGCCAGCTCTGAAGAGCCACTGCGCAGACTCCTCGCATAATGGCTGCGCCACTCACAGGCGGTGTGGGGCTGATTCTCTGCTGGCAGCCGACTCGAGGGCTTACCTGGTGTCCTTTACCAGGCAGAGGGCACATGAGCGACAGAGACTCGGAGGACTCCATGGTGGTAGATCCACTGGGAGCGGGTCAGTGAGACTCAAGGACTTTCAACAAGTATCTGGGAGCCATCTCTCCCCTGGGGTGTCATCTCCTGTCTATCCCCAACTTGGCATTCAAGCTCCGGACATGCCATGTCCCTTCTCCTGCAGAGCTCTCCCCTGATCTCCCTTCTCACCCGAAACGCTCTCCCTGTCTACCTTTGCTGAGACCCTTTGCGGCCCTGTCCCTAGAAACCTTTGTGAGTCAAATGAGAGGCCACACTCCTGGCTGGGCCAGTGCAACTCTGCACACAAAGCCAGCGACTCCCTAAACAGGTTCCCTTCCACGGATCCTCCATGTCCGTCTCCAGCCATGCCGACCATAGTCTACTCAGTCAGACTGTAGACTGACGGCAAGTCAGCTTACTGGTCCATTCTTCTCATGGGCCTCACTGTGTCTTAGCAGACAACATCGGATGGGCACATGAAGTAATGAAAGATGAGCTGGTGCCGCAGCTCAAGGCCCTGGGTTCAGTCCTAAATACCGAACGAGTCACATAGAATGATGGAAGACTGTTGTTGCCTCTGACCCTCTGCTAAGGGTCCAAGTGAGAGGTCTTCTGCAGGCCAGAGGAAGACCAAGACACTAGCACTTGCTTACCCGGGCTGCTTGTTGCTTCTGGAGAACTGTCCTGATCCTCCTCATCGTCATAGTCTTCATCGGAGACCTAGGAGAGATGACCCTCATCATCAGCCTGCTCGACATTCATCCGTACTTCCGCAAAGCCACCACCTCCTTTCGGTCTCCTGAACCTGTCCGTGCCCGATTTTCATAACCGTCACTGGCGTGGCTCATGCGCTCGCTCTCCCTACCCCAGGGGAAGAGTTCTTCCCACCCATGTCTCTGCCAAAGGCACGGAGATGTGCCCGGTAAACAAAGCAGCGGTCCATGGGGTCTGTTGCCAGGTGCAGTGGGAGCCTCCCGGAAAAAGCCCGTCCATGCACCCCAGCTCCACTTCTCACTTGCTAGCTACGAGATAGGCAGATTTCTGAGTCCAGCCAGGCTTCAGTTCTGCTTCTGGAGCCAATTTTGGGATTTTACCCACACCGTGGAGAAGGTGGCCAGTCCTCAGTTAGTGTCAGTTCCTCAGGACCTGCCTGGAGCCCTCTGACCTGACAGGAAAGAACTTACCTGCCTCTGCCTGTAAAGGCACCAAAAAGCCTCACAAGGACGGCCCCCTGAAGACATCCCTTCTAGGACAGCCCTGGGAAGCCTGCATGTGAGGCCCAGACTTCTGCCTCCTTCCTCTGTGCTTTGGGGGGCAGAGGAACAAAGGCTCCCGCTCAGTATTGAGGGAATTAAGGACCACGCAGGGAGATGGAGTTGGGTGGGAAATTGGATTAGTAAAGGAATTTGTTAAGCAGCTTCAGACATAATCCTCTTTCCAATACTTCACGATACCAGGCTACCCCAGGGGAGGCCATGGATAAACTGAATCTGGTCTCAAAGCAAGCTGTCAGGGGTGTCCAAACAGCTCGGGATGAAGCAGTAGCCACCGGAGCCAGGCAGATGGTGCCTTACAGCTTCGAGGGAAGGGAACTGGCCCAGAGCCACACTCTAGAAGACCCAAACGGCACTGAAACCATATTCCGGGGTGGGGTAGTGCATGTCCTGGCCCTTTCTGGGAAAGCTCACCTGCGTGGGGCTTCCAAGGATCCCTGCAGGAGTGCTCCTGGGCTCTGTCGGTAGAAAGAAGGGCTGTGTTAGGGACTCATGGACCCTGGAACCCAGTCAGATCCACACAATGAGCTGGGTATGGTGGTACATCTGAATCCTAACACCCGGGAACCCGAGGAGGAAGGAGTGCCTCAAGTTCACCGCAAGTACAGAGGAGACCCTGTCTCAAAAACAAAGACAAAACATATAATCCTTTTATTTATTTGTTTGTTTGTTGGTTGGTTGGTTGGTTGGTTTTGGGTTTTTTGAGACAGGGTTTCTCTATGTAGCCTTGGCTGTCAAACTCACAGAGATCCACCTGCCTCTGCCTCCCTAGGGCTGAGATTAAAGGAGTACACTACTACCACTGGGCCACACAATGTTACTTTTTAAAAGCAGAATTTGGGAATAAGGAACTCTCCAACACTAGAGGACTAGCCATGTCTATTATGATAGATCCATATAAGACAACAGCCTGGAGAAAAATCTGTTTTGTGTTACATGATGTAAATGTATATCAAAGCATTACATGTTCTCACAAATGTGTCTGATTATTCTGTATCTACTAAAAACAAAACTTCAGGGAGCATGCCTTTAAGCCCAGACCTTGGAAAATCAAAGGCAGCATGGTCTACACAGAGCATCCCAGGCCAACCAGTACTTAAGAACAAAAACAAAAAATAAAACTTCAAGGGGTCTGGAAGGACCGAGAAGTGGTTAAGAGCACCAGCTGCTCTTCCAGAAGACCCGGGTTTGATTTCCAGCACCCACATGTCAGCCCACAACCTTCTGTAACTCCAGTCCACCTGAAGCTCCTCCAGATAGCCTCTGTAGGCACTGCATACGTGTGGCAAACAGGCATAGGTGTAGGCAGAACACCCAGAGACATAAAACAAAAATGAAAAAAGAGGAGATAAATCTTTAGAAAATAAAACTTCAAAACATATTATTTTTAAAAACATTGAAGATATGATATAATAAATAGAAAAAAGACATATGATTTGATCCAAAGTTTCTAAAACTCATGTTTATATTATCATATATTATATATTACAATACATACACACACAGGAAGGGAAAAGCCAGAAGGATACACATCTCAAGATATAAACACTATTAACAGTAATTCCTTAAGCTTGCCTTTTTGCAATAAAATACTTGAAGGATCAGTGACTCATGCCTGGGATGGGTGAAGGAAACCCTGATAAAGAGGGGTGGGGACAGCTGTGGCAGAGGCCACTCCCTCTTGGGAACTGTCTTCCACAGCTGAGGCAAGAGGCGGCCCAGAATCAAAGCTGAGCTAGACCCCAGGGACCTGGCTCGGGCCCTCGCCCAGCAAGGGGTGGAACAACTCGATCTTCTTGTCCTCTCAGCATTTTCCACTAAGAAGTTAAAAACACCACCAAGCATAAGACACGAAGCACCCCAACCCAGGAGTAGAGTAACAGATCACTAAGAGACAGAGGAGAGGGTGAGTCTGTTTCTGCTTGGGAGAGAAGTTTCAATGGGCTATGCCACCTCCAGAAGGAGAGAAAACCACACAGGAACAGTGGAGGTGCTGGGAAAAGAACCCATCTAACCCGCTTCATGGTCTATAAAGGAAATGGGCCCAGAGAGGGAAAGCAATTTGTCTAAGTTCACACAGCAAGTTAACTCATAAATGAACCTCAAACTGTGGCAAGGACTCAGCATCTCATGCCTTTATGCTCCTCCCAGCTTAGCCTAAAAAGAACAGTTCAGCTGGGCAATAGTGGCACAAAACTATAACCCCAGCACTCGGGAGGCAGGGGCAAGCAGGTCTCTGAGTTTGAGGACAGCCTGGTCTACAAAGCGAGTTCCGGGATAGCCAGGGCTACACTCATGATTGTTGTTGTTGTTTGATTTTGAAACAAAGTCTCACATTTTAGCTCAACTTTTTTGGGACTCACTGTATAACTCAGGCTGACTTAGACTCCTGCCTCTGCCTCCGGGGTGCTTGGACTGCGGAGTAGGGCATTAGGCCAACATGCCCGGTGTTTTGTCATTGTTTTGATCTTTGAGACGGGGTCCCATTCTAAAGCCCAGGCTGGCCTGGGACTCACAGCAATCCTCCTGTTTGAGCCTCTCAAGCGCTTGATGACAGATGTGAGCCACCACACCTGGCTGGGTTCTGAAGCTGGGGAGAGGGCTGGAGAGATGGCTCAGGAGTTAAGAGCCCTTGCTGTTCTCGCAGAGAACCTGGGTTCAGTTCCCAGCACCCACACAGTAGCCCCACATTAGCTGTAAATCCAGTTCCAGGGGATCCAATGCACTTTTCTGACCTTCGTGGACACCAGGCCCCCATGTGGTGCACATACATACATGCAGGCAAAACACCCATACACATCAATAAAATTTTAAAATAACAAATAGGTATGGAGTGTGCCAGCAAGAGGGCTCAGGAAAAGCACTAGTCATAAGCCAGAAGACCCAAAGTCCACCCACAGAATTTAGTGGGGAGAAGGAGAGAATCAATTCCTCGAAGTGGTCATCTGACCTCTAAATGTGTGCTGCAGCAAGCATGCCTACTCTTACATACACAGCACATACGGGGAAAAAGTGCATTAAAAAACAAAGATGGGAAAACTGAGGCAAGAAAGGGGAAAATAACTTTCTCAAAGTTAGCAGAAAGTGGCAAAGCTGTAATTTTTATATATTTATTCTGTGTGTGTGTGTGTGTGTGTGTGTGTGTGTGTGTGTGTGTGCCCATGCAAATGTGCAGATGCCAGAAAACACCAAGCACCCTGCTCTGTCACCTCCTGCTCCCTTCCTTCCCTGCTCTGTCGCTGTCTGCTTCCCTGGAGACAGGGTCTCTCACTGAATCTGGAGCTAGGCTGGCAGCTGCCAGCCAGCCCGCCCGGACAATCCCCTTGTCTCTCCCAGCAAGTATCCCCTCAGCTCCCAAAGTGTTATTTAAACCAAGTCTGTCTGGCTCCAATAATGAACATTTTTAGAAGTTTTAGAATATCCACTTTGGATCCAGAGATGTAACTCAGTCTGACCCTCAGCACCGGGTGGCGCTGGCCTGGGGGACCCCTGCAATCCTGGCACTGGGGAGGCTGGAGGCACGATGCGTGGGGAACATGTCTTGGAGTCCTGGGTGCAAGCCAGCTCACAGCCTGCACTGTGATGCCACTTCCCGTGTCACTGAAGCCTCAAGGCTCTGGGAGGCAGGTGCTAGGTCTGGGTGTTTTGCAGGCAGGTGTCAGTACTCCTAAGTGACAAATAACCAAACTGGGGCTGAGTTGGGTACTTCCCCAAAGTCGTACCAGCTAGGGACAGCGCCAGCTGTCAGACCGGAGACAGACCCTCTGACTCCAGATGAGCGCTGTGTGCCAGGTGCGGGTGATGCGGCAGGAACGGCCGAGGCGCCAGGAGAGCTAGATGCCGGGAGAACGGAAGGTTTGCGAAAAGCGCAGAAGAGGCAGAAAGGGGGGAAGTGGGGGAGGGCAGAGCAGGGCGGGGCCTCTCCAGAGACTGCAGCCCAGAGCCCTTGAACCTGCACAAGCCCCACTGAAGGCTCTGTGAAGAGAAACAAAATCACCTGTCGCTGCAGGACCACGCGGACTCAGCCTTCTGGGGCACCCCCAGCCCTGACAGTTACTGTGACCTCGTGCTGAAGCCCCCAGCAGGAGAGGAGATACTGCCAGATCCTTTTCCTCTAACTCCATCCTTTTCACCCGAAAAACTGGTGTGTTTACCAGGCATGCAGGGGTCAGAACTGAAGCTGACCTCCAAAGTGAGGACATTAAGCCAGGTATGGTGAGCCACGCCTGGAATCCCAGCACTCCAGAGGCTGAGGCCAGCAGGCAAGATGACCTAGTGGGTAAGAATGCTTGCCATCAAGCCTGATGGACCTGAGTTCGAGTCCCAGAACACACAAAGAGGAAGGCGAGAGCCAATAATCACAAATTGTCCTTTGACACTCACAGGTGCAATAAGTAAGTAAATTGATAAATAAATATGAGGCTGGGGCAGGAGGATCTCAAAGAGTTCAAGGCTGGCCGGAACTACATGGCAAGTTTTATCTATAACATTGGTATCTAAGCCGGGTGGTGGTGGCGCACACCTTCAAGCCCAGCACTTGGGAGGCAGAGCCAGGCGGATCTCTGTGAGTTCGAGGCCAACCCGGTTCACAGAGAGAGATCCAGGACAGGCACCAAAACTATATGGAGAAACCCTGTCTCGAAAAAACCAAAAAAAATAGAAAAAAAAGGAAAAAAAGGGGGGGTTGGGGATTTAGCTCAGTGCCTACCAAGCGCAAGACCCTGGGTTCAGTCCTCAGCTCTGAAAAAAAAAAAGAAAAGAAAAAAAGAAAAGAAAAGGAAAACACACACACACACACACACACACACACACACACACACACACACACACACACATATATATATATATATGTTGACACAAGCCACAAGTTAGTCATCTGGGAAAAGGGAACCTCAACCGAGACAACGATGAAGCCTATGGGCAGGTCTGTGGGGACATTTTCTTGATTAATGACTGACGTAGAGGGCTGGGCAGAGGGTCAGAAAGCAGGCTGAGCAAGCCAGTAAGCAGCGCCCTCCATGGCCTCTGCTTTGCTTCCTGCCTCAACGTTCCTGCCCTGGCTTCCCTTGATGCTGGACTGTGACGTGGAAGTGGAAGCCAGATAGATAGATAGATAAATAAATAAATAAATAGCCCCTTTTCCTCTCAAGTTGGTTCTGGTCAGTGTTTTTTGTTTTTTGTTTTTTGTTTGTTTGTTTGTTTGTTTGTTTGTAATGGTTTTTCGAGACAGGGTTTCTCTGTGTAGCTTTGCGCCTGTCCTGGAACTCACTTGGTAGTCCAGGCTGGCCTCGAACTCACAGAGATCCGCCTGCCTCTGCCTCCCGAGTGCTGGGATTAAAGGTATAAAAACCTCCGCTCTGTCTCTCAGAGGATGGACGGAGGGACAAGGAGCTCCGCCGGGCCCCAGTGAGTGCAGATTCTTAAGGTTCTTACCTCCCACAAGCCATCTGACCCAATCCTCTTTCAAAAACGGAGCATCTTAAGACCCCACTGTCCTCAGCCCAGACTTAACAGAGAACTCTTTCTGTAGCAAACAGAGGCAATGGAGGAGCCATGGCCAGGTTCTCTGGTGTTCTGTTGCCTGTCTCTCAGTTAATTTACCTTCCTTTAACACCCTTAACACCCTTTATATCTAAATGGTGAGACGGTCACAGGTACTGGGGGTGGCGTGGATTTAGACTCTCCCTCCCCATTTTCCTCTGTCAGTTCTTGTTTCCTAATGCAGGGAAACTGAGGCAGTGGGCTTTTAGACCTTTCCACATGAGCAGACACTTCTCTAAAGGAGATAAATAGTGGCATGTGGTGGTGCACGCTTGTAGGCCGTCTCAACAAAACAAATCAGAAAAAAGAGTGAACACTAGGTACAGGGGTAGATGCTGTAGTCCTGGCTACTAGAGAGGCTGAGACAAGAAGACTGAGGCCAGCCTGGGAAATGCGCGTGCGCGCGCGCGCGCGCGCGCGCGCATGCACACACACACACACACACACACACACGAAAGAGAGAGAGAGAAACAGAGAGAAACAGAGATTTACATAGACAGAACATTACTATTATTAGTAGATTATTAGTATTAATAAGCTGAAGGGAAAATGGAAGGTTTTTAATCCCAGCACGTGGGAGGCAGAGGTAGGAGGACCTCTATGAGTTTGAGGCCAGCCTAGTCTACATCATGCATTCTATGTCAGAAAGAGTTATATCCAGTCTCAAAAAGAGTGGGGGAATCTTTGTGAAGTCAAAGTGGAACAGCCACTATAGAGCAGTGTGGCCATTCCTTAAACACTAAAAACAGAGTTGCCGTGTAACACAGTAAGTAGTCCCACATCTGAGTATATACACAGAAGAACGAAACTCAAGCAGTCAATGGATGGTTCACAGCAGCATCAGTCACACACCAAAAGGCAGGGGCAGCCCAAGTGTCTGCTGTCAAATTCGGAGAAATGTAGCATGATGTTTGTGTACAAGCAAGATGTTCTCCAGTCTCTACCAGGAAGGAAATGCTGACCCATGCCACAGCTTGAACGGACCTTGAAGACACTGTGCCGAGAAGTCAGATACAAAAGGTTTCCGTACAACCCCACTTACTTGAAGTGTCTAAAACAGTCTAATTCAGAAACAGAAAGTAGAATGCGCTTTGCTAGGAGCTAGGGAAGAGGGAGGGGAATGGGAAGTGTTTGAGGGCGTGGGATTCCAATTCTGCAAGATGCGAAGGACCTGGAGATGGGTGGAGACCAGTGGGCAGCATTAGGAATGTACTTAATGCCACTGAACAAAGGTTAAAATCAGGGCTGACCTTGCAAGCTTAAGGACCTAAGTTTAATCCCCCAGAACCCATGTCAGAAAAAAACAAAACAGGCGTGGGGACATGGCTGTGTGATCTCAGCTCTGGGAGTTAGGGAGGTGGGGCCAGGAGCATCCCAGGGGCTCTCTGCTCTACCAGCCTAACCCACTCAGTGAACACCGGCCAATGAGAACGCTTATAGCAAAAAATGAGGGGGGACAGTCCACGAAGAACAACACAGCAGGTTGACCTCTGGCCTCCAAACACACACACACACACACACACACACACACACACACACACACACACACACACGGCTATAATACGGTGTGGTGGTGAGTGCCTGTAATGATGTAAAACCAGAGCTTGGGACAGCCTAGAACACATGATGAGGCTCTACCTCAAAAATCTCCTGCAAGAGTTTTTAAAGTAAATTTTATGTCATGCACACTGTACCACTATCAAAAAAAAAATTATGGGTTTTTGTTGTAGTTGTTTGGAAACAGGATCTCATCATTAGCTGAAACAAAGTTTTAAAATAACTTCAGGTTAAATCAGATGCTTTGATAATAGCCTTAAGACAGAAAACAATCTAGAATTAACAAAGACACATAGCTCAAGTATAGACTCATTAGATTAGGATCAACAATACAAAGCAGCCCAACTGTTGCTAGCTAACATTCTTTCCTCGCTAGGTTTGGTTGATAATCAAAGGTGGTGATTACCTAACTCCTTGTACCCATCCCTACCCTCAATCTCCTGATAGAAAACACTATTGATGAACGGATATGTACCCTAAAGTACAGCTGACTGATCGTTTCTATGTACAAAATCTTACGTTTGTGATTCCTTTAAGACTCCTTATAAGATGACCTTTCAAGATAAATAATAAAGTGATTGATTCTTTCTTTGTAACCACAATATGCAGCCTGCCAACAAAAGAGTTGGCTGAGAAAAAAAATGCGTTCTGCTTGTTCATGTTCTGTTAATCGGTAACAAGTTACTTAGATGTAATGTATGTGGGTTATCAGGGTGACTTTGTTTTTAATCATGTAAGGGAGATGAAAAACATGTTTTCACCTGTATCCATTATAATCATTCACTTGAAAAATAGAATGTAACCACATTGTGATTCCTGTATTGCCTGAAAGATTTTGTTGGGGTATGTAAGTTGTAGAAAAACGCACATAGCATAAAGAACAGAGAATACAGAACGAAGAAGGAAATTCTCAAGAGAGTGTGTGAGTGTCTTTTTCCCTAACCCCCTCAGATAGAAAAGTCTAGTATGCAAAAAGTCTAGACTCTGTGGATTTCCCTTCGAGCCCTGAGCTGTCTGGGGGCTGGTCCCCTAGGCAGTGATACTAACCCTTCACAGCAAGGTACCAGTAGATACCATCTCAAGTGGGTTTTATCAGGGAACAAAAGGAGAAGCCAATATGTCAAGTTTCAGGTCTGGGGTTAAGAAGTACATTAGAAGAAACACTCCAAATGGAACTCCAGGAAAGCGGGCACCAGCTGATAGGCAGAATCCTGAGTCCTTGTACTTTTTTCCCATGGATATGTATTAACTGATAAAAATTTCAGAAGATCGGAGTGATGGCACATGCCTGTAATCTCTCAAACTGGGAGGCTGAGTCTGAGTTAGAGAACAGTGTGGGTTACCTTGGAGCCCTGAAGCAAAACAAACTGCCGATAATTATTATCTTCCTTCTATCTTCCGGGAATTTGTTTTATCAGAAGCATGTTGTTAGGTCTGGATATGAAATATACCCAACACTCACATGCTGTAGCCTTCGTCTTAATACAATGCAGCATACAGAGCTGAGGCTTTGCCTCTGACTTAACCTTTTGTTGTTTGTCAAGACAGTGCCTCATTATATAGTTCCAGCTGTCCTGAAACTCACTCTGTGGACCAGGCTGGCCTCAAACTCAGAGATCCACCAGCCTCTGCCTCCCAAGTGCCGGGGGATTAAAGGCATGCACCAACATGCCTGGCTTGGAATCATAATTTGATATTACTGGGAGGTGGGGCCTAATTGGAGGAAGCAGGTCACTGGGTACACCCTCGAAGGGGACATCTTGTCCTAGCCTGTTTCTCCTGCTTCCTGCTTCCATGTCCTGAGGTCCCCAGCTCGGGTATGTCACACCTCAGACCCAAAGCAATGGAACCAGCCAACCAGCCCCAGTCCTCAGAAACTCGGAGTCAAAAGAGTCCCTTTGCCCTTAAGCCGACTGTTCAGACTTTTGTCATTAACAGTGAGAAGTGACTCACATGCATGCTTTGGGAGATTTCAATAATTCCCCCAAACATTACCACCTTGTCATTTCCTAACGATAAATAGCATCAGTCAATTAAGCACGATCTTCTTTGCCTCAATTAAGCACCATCCTCTGCCCTCGCCCCCTCCATGCTGCCCTCAACTGAGGCTGGCCCACTAGAAGGAAGAAGTGTAAGGAGAAAAGGGCCCAGCCTCTAGTGAGCTCCCAACTCACGAGTGCAGCTACACTTGACCCTCCAGATCTGAGAGCCTGGGATTCAGAGCGTTAGTGACTCGGGAAAGACACGCAGACAAGCTTCCAGACTTAGGCAAATAGAGCTACTATTGACCCAGTGCTTGGGAGGTGGAGGCCAGAGAATCAGAAACTCAAGGTTTTCTTAACTGTGTGGAAAGTTCTGGGCCTGCCTGGACTAAAAGAAGTACTCTCTGAATGAGATGAAATGAAGGGGCTGGGGGTGCTGACTCAGCGTGGTTTGCCATACAGTACTGGACTGCTGATACACCCTGTCCCAACCTCCCTCCGTGCAGACCCAGGTACCTATCCAAGGGGTGCCCGTGACTTCCGGGGACCACTCGCTCCACTGGCCAGTCTCAAGCTCCTCCTTTCCACGGACCTGCACCACGTGCTTCACTCCTCGCAAGGCATCATGGATGATGCACTGGTACTGGGCCGCCTGGAGCTGAGGATAGAGACACGGTGAGTCCCGGGGGCCCCGGTGGGGCAACGCTACAGGGAGAGGGCACCCTTGACCACCCTGCTCTCCACTTGGCAGACAGGCTGAGTGAGATGGAGTTGTTCTCAGCCACGCGGGCTTGCGTCACGGCTTGCGTCACGGTGGGCTAGAGAACCCTGCAAGCTGCAGCCCTTCCTTTCCAGAGACCCCAGCACTGTCCTTTTGCCCTGATTCTCACGAGCAGGCCGGTGAGAAGGGGCCCGGCGTTATTAGTCTCATTTATAAAGACACAGCCAAGACTCCTAAAATTAAACGGCTCACCCAAGACTATGAAGGAAGGAACGATACAGAGCCAGACCCAGAATCCCCTGTTTTTCTAGCGTCCTACTTGCCCCCAAGGATCTAGGGGGCATTTTTTCTGTTTAGAAATAGTTTTGATCTGGGCATGGAGGCTGACTTTAGTAATTACAGCACTTAGGAACAGGAGGTCAAGGCGGGAGCATTGTCGGGAGTTCAAGGCTACTTCAGGGTAAAACTTTTTTGTCTCCAAAAAAAAAAAAAAGGAAAAGAATTACCAGCCACACGGTGAATGTCTTTGACCACACGGGTCGGTATCGAAGCTCAAACTTAAGCATGTAGTAGCCTGGGTCCCAGGACTCGGGGTCTTGCCAGGTGACGTTGAGCCAACGAGGCCTTCCAGGTATGGCCGATACGACCAGATTCATAGGCGGGTCAGGCTGCACTGTGGAGAAGGAATAGATAGGGCTTCTGAGCAGCAGCAAGCATGGTACAGAAGGGACCCGCAAAAGCTCTGCAGACACCCCTACCCCCAGGCACACCACGCCCCGGAAATGTTTGCATTCAATTTATTTAGTGAGAATGGAACCCAGCACCTCGCACCTGGTAGGCAAGAACTCATTCACTGGACCACCCCTCAGCACCCCGTGTTCATCATAAGAGGCTCCCCCGCCATCCATTTGTCAGCAAATGCCCCCAAAAGACCCAACTCCCAAGGTGCTCTGCAAATCTTCCCTGCCTGTCCCGGGAGCAGATCAGGAACATACCCACAAGAGAAGGAAGCCGCTGTGGGCTGGGACTTGCTTACCAATTTTTAAGCTCTGAAATGCCACGTTGCTGCTGGACTTGCTTCCGACGCTGTTCGAAACACACAGTGACACTACGTGGTAAACTCTTTCACCCTCTAGGATTTCCACCTGGCAGGAGAAGCGTCTGGACTTCTGAGAATACTGGCAGGGCACCTGGAAGTCACTCTTTGAGTTGGTGCTGTTGCTGTGGGACACAACGGAAGAAGGGCACACACATTCTAGCAATTTCTGTTCTTTTGCAAGAGAAATTTAAGTCTGGCCCAGGGATTGAAAGCTTGGGAACTGGTGTCTAGTTTCTGGGCTTCAACTCAGCCAGTGTTGACTCCTGTTAGTTTCTAGGCAAGTTTTTCAACCCAAGAGTTTGTTTTTCTTCCTAGAAAATGGGAATGCTAAAAGCATCAATACCTATCCGATAGAGTCTATGCTAAAGGCATCAATACCTCTCTGATAGAGTCTATGCTAAAGGCATCAATACCTAGCTATCCAATAGGGTCTATGGCAAAGCCCAGCCAATGGGGGGGTGGGCAGAGGAGAAGGCCCCTCTGGTCTCTCTCTTGTCTGTGTGTCCTCTGAATTCCTTCCTGGCTCTTGTCCTACATGCTATAAAGGATGCAGAAATGAATGTGAAAAGTCCTTCCCCGTCCCAAAAGAGTGCTCAAAAGAGCTGCCCTCGGGTGATGCAGTATGCTTTGCAAATGCTCACATGGAAGGGGGGACAGATGGGAGGGGGTCTGCATATTGAGGATGGTCAAGGGAAGTCAGATACCATCATCCCACCTGACCTGGAAGCCTGAGACTCCTCCCACTTTCCTGCCACTGGGAAACAAGTAGCCAACCACAGACCCAGGTATGAACCCTGGGCCCAACCCGTGCTGGTCACCACACTGGTTTCCTAATATGTAAGTTCTCTCATACGTGCTGGGGGTGTTTCCCAGACCCTTCAGTGAGAGACCTGAGACCTGAGAGTACCAGGCTCTGCCCTGGTACACCGTGTGTGTCTACTGCTCCGAAGTAGTGCCACACTCCCGGGTGAATCTGCTTTCATGTTTCCTGCTCTGGTGCCTACTCTTGATCACTTCCTGCTCTTGCCGCTCTTGCCTGGGGCCAAGCTTGATGCCCACAAACACCAACAACCAGATGACTAAGAGTTCTGTGCAACCGCACAGGTAGCCTGGGAGGGACTGCACGGGGTTTCATAAGATTACTTAGAATGATACAACTTAAAACATGCAATTGTTTACTTCTGAAATTTTCCACTTGATATTCTGGGGCCATGGTTGACTGATGGTAACTGAACCCAAAGAAAGAACCAATAAGGAGGACTAACATACTCCGATCATTCAAACTTTATTACAAATATCTGGGCTTAATAGGCTAGGCTCAGGATGAAGACTGCAGTTTAGCACATAACACTTCCTGTAAATCGCTGGCTGAAGCCACCCTAGGTCCCAACTTCTGCCTGGATGGGTAGCACCTCACCCCCACCCATGACCACTCCCTGTCCCGCCTTTGTAATGCTTACAGGGTCAAGGCATGATAACAGTCTTCCTGCCCTCACCCTACCCCCAGGGCCATTTGCACTTTCTTTAGGGAAACACCTCAAACCTTTGGACCTTGATGGAAATTGGGCAGCCCATCCTGGGATTGGATTCTCTTCCTGGCCACCTAGAACCACTTTCTAGCTAGATGACCTTAAGCAAATTAATCAATCTCCTTGAACCGCAGCACCCATTTCCCACAGCTGTTGGGTTAGCTACACTGAATTAACACCATGCCCAGCATAGGGCTCGGTTCCTTTATTCCAAAGGAATTCTTTTGACTTATTTATTTTTTAAACTTTTGGAGTAAGTGGGGATCAAAGACAAGGCCTTACACAGGTCACGTGACAGATTTGGAATAGCTTTCTACTGCTAAAACATTGGTCCTGAGGCTGGAGAGAAGACTCAGTGGCTACAGGTACTTGTTGCTCTTGCAGAGGACCCTGGATTCAACTCCTAACACCCACACGGTGGCTGACAACCCTCCATAGGTCCCAGAGGGATCTGATAGGCTTGCATGTGGTACACACACATGCACGTAGGCAAAACATTCTTATGCACCAAGTAAAATAAACCTAAAAAGAAAAAAAAAAAGGTCCCTGTCCAGTGAGTCCATCAGTTGCTTGGGGCCTTCCAACCTTGTCCCCCCAGCTCGGGGACCCCAGTGAGCATCAACCAAACATGAACACTCAGCCCCGCCCATCACTTACATTTTCTTCACGAACAGCACAGCCTTGGTCGTTGGAGAAGGGCTGCTGCTTGGAAACCACTCACAAGTAGCACTTACAAGGGGGTTCTTCCGGAAGCAGGAGAGTTTGGGCTCCTCTGGAGGAACTGAAAGAGAACTCAGCGGGATGAAGGGGGTGCAAGGCTTCCTGGGCACCTCTGTTTACACATCACTCCTCCCGGCTGAGGGGACTCCTTGGTTCAGCATGGAGCCACGAGACACAACTCCCCCAGGGACATACTGGCCAGCAGAGCCCCAGCAAGGGAAGAAAGGCACCATCACCCTTTGGGCTTCTGTCTAAAGTAGTGGTTCTCAAACTGTGGGTCACGACCCCTCTGCCAACCTTCTGTCTCCAAAAATATTTACATTATGATTCATAACAGTAGCGAAATCACAGCTATGAAGTAATAATTTTATGGGTGGGGGTCACCACAGCATGAGGAACTGTGTTAAAAGTTCGCAGCGTGCCGGGCAGTGGTGGCGCACGCCTTTAATTCCAGCACTCGGGAGGCAGAGCCAGGCGGATCTCTGTGAGTTCAAGGCCAGCCTGGTCTCCAAAGCGAGTTCCAGGAAAGGCGCAAAGCTACACAGAGAAACCCTGTCTCGAAAAACCAAAAAAAAAAAAAAAAAAAAAAAAGTTCGCAGCGTTAGGAAGGTCGGAAACCACTGCTCTAAAGGGTTGAAAAGATGATGCGGCCGGGTGGTGGTGGTGCATGCCTTTAATTCCAGCACTCGGGAGGCAGAGCCAGGTGGATCTCTGTGAGTTCGAGGCCAGCCTGGGCTACCAAGTGAGTCCCAGGAAAGGCGCAAAGCTACACAGAGAAACCCTGTCTCGAAAAACCCAAAAAAAAAAAAAAAAAAAAAGATGATGCGAACCAGCAACTTTGACTCAGCCAGGCTCTCTTCAGGTTCCTCATCTGAAATGAACTGATTTTGATATAACATCAACAGGGACACCGGAAGGACTACAGGAGATAAAGGAAGAATGTGGCTTGCACACAGGGCATGGGACCTACAGCCTTCCTGGGAGACCAGGGAGCCCGCCCTTCACCGGCCAATCCTCGGGGTGCGCCATCTGAGCGTTTCATGTGTGCTGGGCAGAATCTTCACCCTCAGACACTTCATCTTTGCAACACTCTCCACAAACATGATAAAGTTCACTTTATTTTGCCAGAGGAAGCTGAGGGATGTAGCAAGAGTTAAGCCCGGATGCCTGGCTATGCGTCCAGGGCTATTAAATCTGCCACACAGCTTCCACCAGCAGCCACACGTTCCTGTATCACAGGCAGAGCAGTGGCCCCTTTCCCGAAACTCTTGAGCCAAAAAAGCAACCAAGTTAAAGGATAAATTGGGGCACCTCTCCGGAATGCAGGCGCATGTTTAAGGACATTGGAGCTGCCCGAGGACCAATTCCAAGGACACTGAGGGCACAACTCACCATCCACCAGCAAGGGCACAGTCCCAACCCGGTGACCATCCAGGAAGCATGAATAGTTCCCCGTGTCACTGAGCTGCACTGCCCTCAGAAGCAGCGTGTTTCCCATGGTCGTCCACCGCCTGCGTTGTGAGCCAGAGTACACCCATCGAATGGTGACATTGCCTTCTGCCTCCTTCCCAGGGCAGATCAGGGTGACGGTGGCCCCGGGTAGGCTGGTCACCGTATCCTTTGCCACCTCTGGGGAAGAAAATACACAGAGTGAGCCACAGCAATAGGACTTGGCTTGTGATCTGGAGACGTCAAAGGCTTCCACGGTAATACTCTGGGGTCCTCCCTTTGTGCAGCCTCCATCACATCTGCCTGGCCTCCAGAAGCCTCCCAGACCACCTAGCTGTCTGCTAGAATGCACCTTCTCAAGCCATGATCCAGCAACCCAGCTCCCCTGATTAGAAAACCCTTTAAGGAGACGATTGTGGTGGCACACGCCTTTAATCCCAGCACTCGGGAGACAGAGGCAGGCGGATCTCTGTGAGTTCGAGGCTGAGGTCAAAATGGGTCTCTACATAGCAAGTTCTGCATCAGTAAGAGCTGTATTTCGAGACCTTGCCTTAAAAAAGAAAGAAAACGCCGGGCGGTGGTGGCGCACACCTTTAATCCCAGCACTCCGGAGGCAGAGGCAGGCGGATCTCTGTGAGTTCGAGGCCAGTCTGGTCTACAGAGCGAGATCCAGGACAGGCGCAAAGCTACACAGAGAAACCCTGTCTCAGAAAAACCAAAAAAAAAAAAAAAAAAAAAAAAAGAAAGAAAGAAAGAAAACAAACAAACAAAGCCACGACCCTGCTCACAGAATGAAGATCCAGATGCTCAGCAGGGCCCAGGGCACCTCCCACCTATGTATTCCTGCCTGGCCTCAGAGCCTCCTCTCACCACTGATGGAGCTCCAGAGCCTCCCTCTCTCCCTCTCTGCGTTTTGCTCTGCCGGGTCCTAACACTCCCATGCCATCCCCACAGCAGAACATCATGTGTATTTCAGGTCTCAGCCTCGGTCCCCTTCCCTAAGTGTTGCTCCCTAGTCCCAGCTGACTTAAGCCTTTCTTGTGTCAACTCCCCGACGATGGCACCCGTCACACGAGTCACAAAACCAAATCCAAATCTGTCTTTATCAAGACTTTACCACAGAGCCAGCAAGACGGTTCAGCAGGGAAAAATGCTTGCCGTGCACGCCCGAGGATCTGAGCTGGGCAAGGAGAATCAACTCCCAAAAGTTGTCCTCTGAGCACGTGTGCTACGGCATGTACACACGCAGACCATACGCACACAATAATATTATTATTTACTTTTTATTATTAAACCAACATTAAAAATAAGTGAGGCAGTGGGGGTGCCTGCCTTTAATCCCAGCACTCAGGAGGCAGATGCAGAGACAGAGGCAGGCAGATCTCTGAGTCCAAGGCCAGCCTGGTCTACAGAGCAAGTTCCAGGATAGCCAGGATGCCAGGACTACACAGAGAAACCCTGTCTCAAACATACACACACACACACACACACACACACACACACACAGAATAAATAGATGGATGGATGGATGAATGAATGAAAGAAAACCACTCCCCAGTGTCTAGAACAGTGCCTGGCACATATAGGCACCCTTTTGCAACTGACAAAATGCAAGGTGAACAAATGATTCACCTGGGTGTGAACCCAGCATGCACAAATGCACAGGTGAACAAATGATACACCTGGGTGTGAACCCAGCATGCACAAATGCACAGGTGAACAAATGATTCACCTGGGTGTGAACCCAGCATGCACAAATGCACAAGTGAACAAATGATTCACCTGGGGAGGAACCCAGCATACCCAAATGCACAAGAACTCTCAGTGTCACAAGGTGCATGCACATGGGCCCATTTTATAGGTGGTAACCAACATAGAGAATTACTATCAGCAAGGAGAAAAGAGCCAAGGCTTTGGACTCTCTCTGCTCTGACCAGGACTCTAAACACATAACTATCTTGTAAACATCTGGGCACAGCTGTTTTTATTCTAGGAAGCAAGTTGGGAAGTAAAAACTAAACATATTCTTCATTCCCTAGGGGGGAAAAATTCATGGGAAAAAATATTCAAGAAACATTGAGTCAGGCAGGCATAGTGATTCATGTCTGTAAACCCCACATTTGGGAGCCTGAGACAGGGAGATCACCAAAAGCTTAAGGCCAGCCTGGGAGTCTCAATCCACTCATTTCCTAGTTCAGATTAAGGACTCACAGAATCTAAGACAAAAATGAGCCCAGGTATGAAGAAAATGTGGTCCGTATACACAATGGAGTACTACTCAGCAGAGAAAAACAATGATATCATGAGGTTTGCAGGCAAATGGATAGAACTAGAAAATATCATCCTGAGTGAGGTAACCCAGACTCAGAAGGATAAACATGCTATGTACTCACTCATAAGTAGATACTAGATATAAAGCAAAGGACAATCAGACTGCAACCCACAGATCCAGGGAGGCTACCTAGCAGGGGGGACCCTAGGATGGCTGTGGTTTATAATAAGTTTTGGCCTTGCCCAATTACTGGGCATGCTTTAGTGAAACATTTCACTATTAGGATAAGAATTTGTACCGTAACAAGCTAATGGAAGGATATCTTGGCCGTACTTTCAGGAGGGGAGGCTAACATCTTTTTAGAATATGGATTAGCCTATAGAAAAATGTCTGCCGTAAATCAAACAGTGAAGGGGAAGATGACTAGGAATCTCACTTACACAACTTAAGTAAAACATAGCTCTCTGGCCGGGCGGTGGTGGCGCACGCCTTTAATCCCAGCACTCGGGAGGCAGAGCCAGGCGGATCTCTGTGAGTTCGAGGCCAGCCTGGACTACCAAGTGAGTTCCAGGAAAGGCGCAAAGCTACACAGAGAAACCCTGTCTCAAAAAACCAAAAAAAAAAAAAAAACATAGCTCTCTGAACAGATGAAGTCAGGATTCTTCTGTATCCCAGAAACTAATCAATAGATATATGCATAATTCAGCTAACACTTGGCTTCAAGTGGCTTATTGGGAAATGTTATCATTTTTACTATCTTCTACAGAGAAAATATTTTCCAGTTTCAAATAACTCTGGACTTTGAAATTATAACCTGTTTATATGCTCAAAAAAAAAAAAAAAAGCCCCAAAAAACATTTAAGTGAAAAATGCTGAAGGACCACTGAACTCAATGTTGTGTTTACATATCTATATCTGTATAAAATAATGATTATAAATGTTTGTTTAAAAAAAAAAAAAAACCTTGCCGGGCGGTGGTGGCGCACGCCTTTAATCCCAGCACTCGGGAGGCAGAGCCAGGCGGATCTCTGTGAGTTCGAGGCCAGCCTGGCAAGTGAGTTCCAGGAAAGGCGCAAAGCTACACAGAGAAACCCTGTTTCGAAAAACCAAAAAAAAAAAAAAAAAAAAAAAAAACCTGCCGGGCAGTGGTGGCGCACGCCTTTAAGCCCAGCACTTGGAAGGCAGAGGCAGGCGGATCTTTGTGAGTTTGAAGCCAGCCTGGTCTACAGAGTGGGATCCAGGAAAGGCGCAAAACTACACAGAGAAACTCTATCTCAAAAAAACCAAAAAGTAAACCTTTCATAAGGCCAAGGGGGGGAAAAATGAGCCCAAGTACCTTGTATTAATTAACCCCACCGGCTGGGAAATGGAGTCTAGGGAACATGGCATTTTTAAGTTAGGTATATGTGACTCTTCAAACAGAACATCTAACTTCCTATCAGCAAGCAGCAGCAACACATCTGGCCAGGGATTCAGAAGAGCCGAGTGCCTGACCTCATGTCCTCACACGTGTTCCTGGATAATAAACACAAGAGGCTCTCTTCGCCCTCCAAGGATCGCGTGCTTGGAAAGAGGCTTTACCTGGTGCCTGGCCTCTGCTCTCTCCACCTTTCCTCAGGGCCTCAGGGAGGGACAAGTAGACTACAGCTGCTGAGCCAGGACAACCTGACGGTCCCCAGCAACCAGCGGCCATGTGCAGGTGCCCTGCACGAGAGAAGCAGGGATTCCGCCTGGCTACCCGGACGTCCTTCGTGCCTCCTCCCACTTAACCACCGGGAGGACGGTACAACAGGTGCAACACCAGAAGGGTGCTCTCTCTGTTTTTCTCTCTTTACCTCCAGAGTCTTGATCCTTGGGTGGGAAAAAAAAAATGGCAGGGGCTGGAGAGATGGCTCAGTGGTTAAGAGGGAATGTTGCTCTCTGAGGACCCAAGTTCTCCCAGCACCTACATAGGGCAGCTCACTACTGTCTATAACTCTCACTGGTCTCAGAGGAAACACACACACAGAGAGAGAGAGAGAGAGAGAGAGAGAGAGACAGAGAGAGAGACACAGAGAGAGAGAGAGACAGAGAGAGAGACATGTATACATAAATAAAAATAAGTTGTTTTAAAGAAATAGTCAGGTGTGGTGAAGAACACCTTTCTTTTTCTTCTTCTCCTCCTCCTCCTCCTCCTCCTTCTTTTCTCCTTCTCCCCCTCCTCCTTCTTTTTCTTCTTCTTTTGGTTTTTTTGAGACGGAGGTATCCTTGGCTATCCTGGGACTCAGAGATCCTCCTGCCTCTGCCTCCAGAGTGTTGAGATAAAAGGCGTGTGCCATACCTCGAGCTTAATCTTTAATCTTAATAGAAGCAAAGTGGGTCTCTGTGAGTTCCAGGACAGCCAGGGTTTCAAAGTCTCAGACCTTGTCTCAAGAAGATAAAATTAGGAGTCGGGGATTTAGCTCAGTGGTAGAGTGTTTGCCTAGCAAGCGCAAGGCCCTGGGTTCAGTCCTCAGCTCGGGGGGGGGGGGGGGGGATAAAATTAAATGAAATTAAAAAAAAAACAGCAGCTTGTCATTGTCACCTTGTAGTCAGGTGAGTTTGAGGAGGCTCCCTAAACTTCTCTGGCCCACAGTGAGTAAGGAAGCCTTCCCTCTGTCAACCAGCACCCAAGGTTCCAACATCAGGTTGGTGGGGGGACATGCTTGGGCACCAGAGAGCCCCACCTGTGAGAAATGCAGCCTCTGAGGCAGAGTTCACACAGTGCCCACAGCGATAGCCTGAGTGGTGACGCCAGAGTCCTGGAAGCCCAAACCTTCTGATGGTGGTGAGGGGAAGGCGTCCCGGAGCTTCCAAAGGCCGGAGTTCTAGCAAGCATTCGTACATACTCTTTTTTTTTTGTTTGTTTGTTTTTCGAGACCGGGTTTCT